TGAGAACAAATTCAAATTAAAAAAAAAAAAGTAAAATATAACCATTGGATCTTTAAACGATGGTCTCACCATTAAAATTTTAGGTTTAAAAAAGAGTTTCCCTTGATTTGAGTTTTAAAAAAATGGTTTTTCTTCATTTGGTACGAGTATAAGTCTACCATTGTAGAAAAATTTTAGACTACCCAAATTAAAATTTGGGTACAAAAAAGGGTAAGAGTCGTAGATGCTCAGAGAAGAATAAGTGGTGTCGGATGACAAAAAACAATAGGTGAGTTCACACAATTTTTATATGAAAAAATTAAGGAAATATTATAAGTAGATTAATCTTAATGTACATACAAGTAATATGTGTCTAAAGACACGATCAACATAAAATTTAACCGTTCAAAAAATTTATCTTATTATATTAAATAGTATTTTTTTTCTCTTTCTTAATTATATAATTTAAAATATTTTTTTTGAAATAAATTCAAAAAAATTGTCTTAAAATATATAACCTCAAAAAAAATTAACATATATACACTATTGTATATGAACATTATTTGTAATGAAAGTTGTATTGAATCACAAATTAATCAAAAATTAAATGATTCAGCTTGTGATAAAAAATGAGTAATGTGATAGAAATAGGCAAAACAAAAACAATATGTAGGGATAAAATTTAAATGTATAGCTTCCTTATTAAGAACTATGATCGTTCCGCTGGCATCTTGCATTACGCCCTCGTTTAACTGTCGCTCAAAGATGTAGTTGTAGATGCGTCAATCTTAGTGAGTCGTTGGCTCTACCTGTTATATCCTTCTACGATATGTTATTGTCACTATCATATTTCATATGTCATATAGTCATCTCTGTCTCTATTCAGGTCAGCACCTCTGAAAGAAACAAAGGACTTCATTCAGTGACCCTGCAATTTCCCTCTGAATGATCAAAACAAGGTAAAGCTTAATGATATATTTTGTACTTTATTAATTTCTCAGTTCCTCTAGTCAGGTGGGCTCCGACTGGTCTTTTGACCAGATCCTCCTAAAAACTGTACATGCGTGTCTCCCATCTTGGTGCTCACTCCATTCGAGGTAGCCCAATCTAACATTTATTTGCAAATCCTAAAGTGAAATTGAGACTACTTGACCTCGGAAGTTAATTCACGTGTAGGCAACCCTATCTGTCGTGCCGTTGACTTTATCTATTCATTGAATTTTCTTGAAACTTTTGTTATATAGACTCGCTCCCTCTTTTTTCAAGAATTCATGCACTTCTTTTTATTCCATAGGGCCTTCTTTAATAAAGAAAAGCCTCCCATTTTCGTCAAATGTCCCCACCACCCCTGGGTTCTCCATCGTTCAGGTTCCCTTTCCTCCCTGTGCTATGTTTCCCTAGTGCAGGCCTACCACACTTTGCGCCTGCAGCATTTTCAACAAGTGCAGCATTTTACATGGAACAGTAAGCGTATTACACGTTCATATGTTGAGATGTGTGGGTGGTGATGATCACCTCGGGGTATGCGCTAGCGCCCTAGGCAGACACTCAAGAATCCGCTAACACTCGTAAAAACACGGGTAGGTCGGTCCTCTATTCATCTGACCAAAGGTGTGGATAACAAGTTACCTTCTCCCTTCTGCCCCTATGTTGTAGTAAGGTATGGCAATTTGTTTAAGTTGATCAACTTCCCCTTAGCCCGATGCTCATGAAACGCAACAAAATTTGTACCGTGCTGGGGGACCAAGTACGGCATAGCTAGTGGCATTAGCGACTTCGTGCTACACTGGAATGATCCAATATATGGTTCCACATGTTCCACCACTCCTCTGTTCATTTCCAACACTGTGTTTAAAAGAAAGGCAAAAATAGGAAAGAAATTATTCCCTGAGAGCTTGTCCAATACCACCACTATCAGAAATGTATCTCCTTCGCTCACGCAAGAGACTTCTATCCTAGCCGGCAATAGCGACTCCATTAAAAAAAAAAGCAAGAAACAAACACACATACACCCACCCCCACACATACTAATACACTAAAACACACACATATACACTAATACAACATCACACATACATACACACACACACACACTAATACACCAACACACACACTAATATACCCAAACACACACACTGATACACTAAAAATCCACACACACACACACAGAGTAATAGACCAAAAAACATATACTCACACATACACATACACACACTAATACATCAAAATACGCAGACACACACACTAATTACTTGATTCCCCAAAAGTACAGGCGATCAAGAAATAATAATACTCGGGAATTCTGAGGTCAAACCACAGGGATCAATTAAATCAAAAGAGTAGAAAAAGAAGAACAAATAAAATTTACTTTGAAGATTGAGATTGCTTTATAAAATGAAATAGAGAATTTAAAAGTGATTTATTAATTGGAAAGTGACTATTTAGTTTTGGGATTTGCATCTATTCGTGATCATCAATTAAATATGTTTATGTAATTACAATTTTCTCAATTGATTTTCAATTTCAATGTAGTCAACTGAAGATTTGGTCTTGAAAAAATAATAGGCGATTAATCTAAAAATAAGAATTTAAGAGCAAGTTTAATGAAACTCGCAGCGAATCATAAGTACTATTCATACCAAGAACTCAATCAAGTTAATGAATAGTCAAACAATTATACAGAGCATAAAACTTTATTAACTATCATTTAAATTAATCTAAACTTCCAAGGAAATATAACATTAAAGTATATGAAAAATAATTGCATAAAAATATAAATAATTAATTCACAATCTAATATCCATACCCTAACTAAAGAGTATAGAATAAACTACGCACTAGCCATAAAAATACTTGAAAGCAAAAATAAGAAAATAATAATGATCCCAGAATGCTCTCTCAAGAGATGAGAGCTCGTTATTTATAGAAAATAACCTAGGTTTAGGCCAAGGAACAATTCTCTAAAAATCTTGAACTTCGACATTGGGGTCACTGACTTTTAAAAAGGCACGTCCAGACAGTGTTGTCCACATTCAAACAGTGAAAAGTGACTTGAATTCTTATCTTCAGAGCGGCGTCGTCGAACAATGATACTTGCGTTCAGATGACTGGAGTACGTATCGTCAAATTTGTGTCCGAATAGTAATAATAGTGTTTGGACAACTAAAACTCTTTGGAATTGGCATTTTGATACTCGCGGAAGGACAATAAATGCTGCTTTTCGAACGGTCTTATTCCATCTTCGATTTTGACCTTGACTTTGATAAGTCAACAATTCTGAATTTAATGATTGCGTTCAAATAGTGCAAGTGGAGTCCGAACGGTACTACATTAGTACACCAACACACACAATATTAATACATTAAAACACACACACATACATGCTAGAATACACCGAATACACACTGATACACCAAAATATACACACTCACACACATTAATGCACCAAAATAAACAAAGACAAACTACTGTATTATGGAGTATTATTAGCGTGTTTGTGTGTGTGCATTTTAGTATATTAGTGTGTGTATGTGTGTTAGTGTATTAGTGCATTCATGTATGAGTGTAAATTTTATCAAATTTAATTTTTTACTCTAAAAAAAATTTTGAAAAAACGTTACCAAAATGAGGATTCTAGTGAAAAAATTAATATTTTGATGTGGGAATAATCCTTCCCTCAACTTATCTCTTTGACCCCTGCACTTTATTAAGAATTTTTTAAATAATATTTATATTAATTAAGCCTTGGAACTATTGAGTTTGATCCAATGTAGCCCTTTAGGGTCCGTTGAGCTTCACGTGGTTGTCAGTACAAGGTTAGTTGTATCCAATCGTTAAACATTCTAACTCATGAACTACTCAAAAATAAGAAATCTCGAGCCTGTTTGGTTTGTATCTCAAAAATCAGTATTCAAAAATAATTTTTGAGAAGAATTTTAAGAAAATATTTTTGAAAATTTTTAGATTACAAAACATGTTTGGTTATATATTTTTTTAAAATAATTTTAAAAAACAAAAAAATATAAAATTTGTTTGGACAATAACCTACAAAATCCACAATTACCATTTCTATCTTTCTTTCCCCTTTGTTTGTCTTCACAAAATCCACAAACACGTGCGCGCGCGCACGCACACACACACACATACACACACGCATACACATACAGACTCAAACCAAACACATATCTACACAGATTTGTGCTTCAGATTTACATAGATCTAAAGTTTAATTGTTACGAGAGAGAGAGGAGATGGAGATGGGGACAGAGACACTGGGCTTGACAACGATCTTCGGTGCTACTAAGGGGACAACAATCTTCGGTGGAGAAGAAGATGGAGACGCTGGGTTTGACAGCGATTTTCGGTGCTACTAAGGGGACAGCAATCTTCGGTGGAGAAGAAGATGAAAACGCTGGAGAGAGAGAGGAAGGAAAAAAAAAAAAAACAAGCCTTTAGCTCAAAGGGGACTCGAATGGCAAACCGCATTAAAAATCCATTTTTGTTCTCCATGTTTCCAACATTTTCAAAGAAAACTCAAAAAATAAGTGTAACTTGTTTTTCATTTTTTTGATCTAATTCTCATTTTTTTTCCCAAGAAGTTAAGAACAAAAATACTAAACAAACAAGTTTTAAATTTTTTGAAATTTTGAAAACTAAAAACAGCTTTTAAAAACTAAACCAAACACGCCCCTCACTTCTATGCAATCGTTGAACCTCGAGTCCTAAGCTTGAAGATTCTACAGGAATTGGTGTCTAAGCATCACCAATCTTCTACCCAAAAGCTGTAGATTCGGCGTTGAGGACCACATATGAGGTTTGCCCACAGGCTTTACCCGACGTCTTGGCCAATCCATAAGCCTTCCAATCTAATCCCCACGTCTTTCGTCTTGAGAAGCTTGGACAGCAGAGGAGAGAAACTAGTGGTGGTCGGCAGCAGCGGAGTTGCTAGCTATGGTAGGCAGTGGTAGTTGGGTTCGTGGTTGGAGAGAGAGAGAGAGAGAGAGATGAATACAGACTTGGGGCATGGGCATTATTTATGGGGAAGTTAAAACAATGTCATTTACAGATAAGTCTTACAACATAAGATAACTCTTACAACTCTTTCCATTGGGTAAAGATTGAGAACTGGTAAGTCATATCACCCAAAAGACCAGATATTTCAATCGAAGCCAATATTCCCCATCAAGTCTTTATGCCAAATTAACATACACAACAAACCAATCTGAAGCCTGAAGGAACATATCTGAAACTACCACGATTAGAGAGATACATTATGAAAGAAGGCTTTGAAGCATTCTTCACGAACCGAGAAGGATTGAGCAAGGAAGCCCTGATTACAAACTTTGGGCATTTCTCACTTCACAAAAGGAATCCCAGACCAAACACCTCGTGCATAATCCTCATATTGTGACCTGAAAAACTGTCTCAAGAAGTACTCTTCATATGGTATCCGGTCGGAGAAAAAGAGCCAAACAACCACCGTAAATGCAATTATAGATACCGGATTACAGATCATTATCTGAGTGCCAACTGACCAGATGAAGAAACCAAAATATCCTGGATGACGAATAAATCTATACACCCCCTGAGTAACCAATTTGTGATCCTCCTCGTGATAAATCTTGATAAGATGAGTGAAGGACCTGCCAGCAGTTAAAATTGCCAATTTCCGTATGATTTCCCCAAAAACAACCATTGCAAGGCCAAAGTTACTTATCCACCAGTATTCCTTCAACCCAGGGCAAAAATAAATTTCAAGCAAGTACTCTAGCAATGAGAAAATCATTGCCACGAGATAATTTTTGCTGATTAAAAGAGAATTAAGGGTTACTCTTGATCTCCCATGGATTGAGATTGCTAGAATGTATTCAGAAACATGAAAGAAGATTATTGAAAAAAACATTTGTGATAATTGTCTGCAAGCTGTGTAGGAGAAGATTTCTGTCATTTTCCCCAAATTACCCGAATGAATATGTTTCTGTAAGAAAAATCTAATAAGATCCAGAATATTGTGCTTTGATTGCAGGGAAATGGATGTAGGACTCTTAGTTTTGTTTCAGACCTGGAAAAGTTGCAAGCTATTCAAGACTAGCACTAAGAACTGAGCCTGCATGTCATCCCAAAGATGCTTTAACAATATTTCCTGCCAAATGGATATCTTTGCATTAGAGAGCAGAAAACTTTCAGCATATAGTTAGCATTAATATGGTACAAGATTTTGAAAAATTTCTGACATATAGAGCACCTTGGACATAAAATAAGTCTAGATGTACAAAAGATGTTGACGACCTTCTGAAGGAATGCAAGTTCTTTCAGCTTCATGCGATCACACCCCAGGTACTTCTATCTAATTGCTTTTCCATTTGAAGTCATTTTACATGAGCAGGATCAAGATAAATGCAATGAAAATTTTCACACAACTTTGAATTAAATATACAACATAGTGGACTTCAACAGAAAGCTTAGACTTAGTGGTGTTAAACGACCTGAGCTTGACAAGCCTGAGCCTTAGGGTGCTCAGGCTCAACCCGTAATTTAGGAGGGGTGTTTGAGTTCGACTTGGACTTGAATCTCGAGACTGAAATGTTGTTCACTCTCAGCTGGTTGTAGAACGAGCAATTCAGGCTCGTATGTCTAATTAATCCCTTTAACCAAATAGACCAATTACAGGAACATTAAACCAATTTTAAACTATCAAACAAACTACATAACAATCTATTCTCCAAACATCAGATTATTGGATACATACTATAGGAGCAATACAAAAACTGGGGCAGTGACGGAGTGATATGGGCGCGCGCGTGCACACACACACACACACACACACACATATATAATAGTAACAAAAAAAATTGAATCACTTGGAAGACAAAACAGGACAGAAAAGGGTAATTCAAGAATCACGACCCAGTTGGGCATTTTGTCAAACATGTGACATGCATCTAGCATAACTTTAACAGAAAACCAAAATAAATCAAGAGAAGGCCTCAAAATAAACAGAATAATTCACTACAACAAGATGAGTGAACACAATGTCTACTAAGAATATCTTCCAATAAAGGAAGAAGCTTCAATGTTTGTAACTATTTTGCAATCTTGTTTTCACAACGGAGACACGCAACATAGCTCGAGAAGAACAGATCTAGGGTCTCTTTCTTGAAGATTTATTTGTCAAGAAGGAGAGGCTGAGGGTCAAGGTCCTAGAGGATCAAAGAGAGAAGTTGTTTGTACAGGAACTGATCTGAGATATGAATCAGAGAGAGAACATACATACAAGGAGCTTTAGGTGGTGGTGTACCTGGGAAGTATGAGAGATGAGAGAGAGTTTATGGTTTGACATGTTGAAATGAGAAGAGAGACAGTGAGAAGGGTAAGATATGATAAAACCACGAGTTCTAGTCTCTAGATGCCTATTTCAGGTGAAATGCGTAAAAAACCGGAAGATGCAAAAACCCAAAATGTTCTAGGAAGGCAATAAAATGACCTCACAACCTCAGCTTGGGCTCGGCTCATATTTTAACGAGTCTAAAAAAATGTTCAGAATTGGCTTGTATTAACAAACAAGCAACTTGAACAAGCCTGAAACAAGACCGAATAGCTCAATTCGTTAATAGCCTAATTATACCCATGTTAGAGTTATCTTCTGTGAACCTAAGAATGAATAAGGAAGATGATCCTCGCAGAAATAAAGGAATAAGGACATAATCACTCAAACACTTTGGGAATGTATTCTATGGAAACAGACCTGGGACAGTTAAATCTTAAAAAATGGGTATAAGATCAACCTTATTTTGTTGTACAAACTGTTGGTCCAACTCAAATTCAAGGCCAAGAACCCCTACCTTGGCCGACCATGTGGTCATTTTACACATTAGTCATAATACAATCTTTCAACAAAACTGTTGGTCCAACTCAAATTCAAGGCCAAGAACCCCTACCTTGGCCGAACAAGTGGTCATTTTACACATTAGCCATAATACAATCTTTCTTACATGATATAACAGATCCAAATGGATAGCTTAAAATGGGTGTGCTAATTCTGAACTCTAATTCTAAAAAGAAAATCAGAAGATACAAGGGCGCTTTATGAAACATAATAGAAGCATAGCACTAAGTGCCAAATCATCGGGGCAAATTTATGACTACTATTATTGCGAATTTATCACACAGTTAACCATTCCTTAAAAGCTAATTGTTCTCACCTCGCTATGGATGGTCTCCCTCCATCATACCCTAGGTTTTTTTTCTCTTTTGGATAGGAGCTACCCCCATGGTTCCACAAAAAAGGGTGATACCGATCCCACTTGGCCGATCCTTATCCTGACTCGCCATCTTCTGGCCAGAACCAGATACTAATTCATGTTCCATGTGACCAACGAGTCTCACGCAACTTGACCGAGTTATTTGAAAGAGTCATCCCTAATGACTGCCATTAAATTTAACAATGTCATTCTGCGAAGCCACAATTTCTATATAAATCACCCAATACCGACGAAATTGTCTTAGAGCCCTAGAGGCGATGGTTGATACTGTGACGACTTTGAACCATGGCTATGGCGACCCCTCTCATGCTTATATTACACTTGCTAACCAAATCCTCCCTTCCCCACCCCAACCCAAAACAAAATAAAAAAACGAAAAAGGAGAGAGAGAGAGAGAGAGAGAGAGAGAGAGGGAGAAGGGGAAAAAAAAGGTCTCATCTTCAACCATTAATCATGACCGTGTGAGCGAATCAATCACACCAGTAAAGATCACCTTAATAATCAACCCATCAACAAACTTATATTCCATTAATCAAGATAAATTATGGCTTCCACTCGAGAATACAATCCTATCTAATTCACAAAACTATCTCATGAGCAGAACACTAGGCCCCTAAACGGCATTGCAAAAAACTAACTGGAACGCCGCATTTTCCTGAAGGAAACAGAGAATAAAAATGAACGGTGGAGATTACCATACTTCTTCCATCATCTAGTTGTGCAAAGAGTCCTGAAGAAACCACGTGGCAATTCCATTGTAAGCCTCGTTAAGCTTCACATCACAGAGCTTAAATACCATGCTCTTGTCACAAGTAGGGTTCCAAACGCTTCCTGAAAACAGAAATTCTCTGATCACAGCTTCAAACAGGTTTTAAAAAAAAAAAAAAAACTCCTCCTCATAAAAAAGTAACTGTTCATATAAAATGAGCTTTGATATGAATTACAGAAAACAGGTCCTCAATAGCTAACTACACTAAATACAAATGACAAAGAGAAAAAGAAAAAGAGTTCTATAGGTATAAACTAAAGAAAAACTATTAGAACAAAGTTAATATGTGAGGAGGAGCTACATACTCCTTCGACCAAATGGGCCAAATGAGATTAAGAAGTCCTATATCAACAAACATAGAAACCAATTCCTTTTTATCTGATTGCCTCAATTCAAAAAGCCCAAATACTAAAAACGAGAAAAATTACCAGTGGAGGCTAAACTAAACAAATACATCTAATCAGCTTGGTAGCAGATCGAGAATATTCACAAGGTCAAGTCCTGCTTCATACTATTATATTTGTTGAATCAGCACAAGTGCATCAAGTTTACATGGTATTAACCTAGAGTTAATAATCAACAAGAAAAAAAAAAAAAACTTCTCACTGCCTATGATTCTTACCTAGCATAAAAATAAAATCTTTTTAAATGGAGATCCTCCATTTGTTTTATCCCACGTTGACTAGGAGGAAGAGGGAAGCGTTAATAAAGTTCCACGGGTCAACATCTAGATGGTGTTTCTTTGTGGACCTCACTTTTCCACCCCATAAAAAACACTTGATGAGATTCAGGCATGGAAGTTAGGTGGGATGGAATGAAGAGAGAGCAAACAACAGGTTATGCAACAGCTAAGCTACATTTGACATGAACTTTTTCCACTGTTGCCTTCTTCCCCACACTCTTAGTTACGACACAGAGGCAATTGAAATGTTATTGCAATTCCCAAACAAAACTACAATTCTACGGCTTAATCCAACATTAATGAACACACTAAAGGTAAGAACCATTCAGAATTATAAATTCAAAGTAAAAAGAGTCACTTATAACTCCTTACTTGTTGACAAATAAATTAGATCGATTAGCAACTAAATCTGTAAAAAGAGAAATGATCATAATAATTAAGTTAAGACTATAGAGTGACCAACTGGCCTGCTTAGTGCAGAAACAAAGAATTACAAATCCTCAATAAAGACTGAATGAGATTCTTGAAAAGATAAATACTGAACTACATACCAAGCTGACGATTTATGAACCAAACCAATAAAAAAAAAAACCAATACAAGGTAAAACAAAGGACATTAGTACTAACAAAAAAACATTTGGTCAGAAATAGGGAAAAAAATCAAAGATGAAAAAAAGACACCGACTTTTTCATTAATTGTAGATCATAGTTTGGGCTTTGGGCGCTCCAAGGGACCAAAAAACATCAAAACAAATAATTTAGCAAAATAAAATGAGTGTAGAGTACTCAATTACATACAAATAACAGACGCCATATGTATGAATCGCATTTAGACTATATGTTGACGATCAAGAGAAGCTAGTTTAATAGAGTCAAAAATTCAAATCAAATGATCGAATTTAAAGACGAATATATATACATATATTATATTGGTACGTATTATTGAAATTACCTCCGACTAAGGTAGTCGTCGTCGTCGGATGATAGGCCGCCGGTGGTGTTTACTGGTAAGACGGTTAGCTGGAGGTAGAGTAGCAGATAGGGGGTTCGATTACGGTGTGGTCGCGTGAAAGAAAGAGAGTGTGTGTGCAGACATAAATAAAGGGCTTTTCAACTTTTTATAGCCAGTTATGGTAGCTTTTAAACTTATAAGAAAATTATATTTAGACCCATGAGATATGTCACTTAATCACTCACATCCCTTGATATTTAAAATATTATATATATATTCTCTAAAATTTGTACATGTGTTACACTTAGATCTCTGCCATAAATATCAATTAGTAAATTATACCAAAACTTCTTAAAGTTTATAAACGTGTAATACTTATACCCCTCAATTTTAAAATATTATACTTGAACAAAAAATTCTTCAATCCAAGCTAGAATATCAAAATATTTTAAATTTTTCAACCAAAATTTATGTTTTATTATATCATTTATAAAAATAAAATCAAAAATAAAAGTCTAATTTTTTATTAAAAAATCATAATTAGTTTACAATTATATTATCTATTGGAATAAAATTAAAAAATTAAACAAGGGATATAAGTTATTCATAATAAAACATGAATTTTATAACCAAAATTCTTGTTCCATTAAATTAGGATTAGGTACGGGATGAAATAAAATTATTTAGGATCAATTTTAATATGTTAGGATGAATTTTGATTTCTTTTAGCTATCCATTTGATCTAATTAAGTTGTTGTTGGAATCAAACCAGTTTTTTAATGAATAAAAAACAGGTTTATTTGTTTCTGTTTAACACATTTTTAAGTTATTAGCTCATAAGCAATCCTGGATAGTTTTTTTTTTTTTTTTTTTTTTGGACAGAACATGCACAGAAGAAATACAACAACAATCCACACGACAAAACTCAACACCCACATAGAGAGGGACCCACAAACCAATTGGTAGTGAGCCACTTATACTCACAGAACTGGTGAAAAACAACTGATGTGAGATTGGACCATAGTTTTTTTGGACAGAACATGCACAGAAGAAATACACACAACAATTTACACGGCAAAACTCAATACACATAAAGAGAGACCCACAAACCAATTCTTCTACTTATACTCACAGAACTGGTGAAAAGTAACCGATGTGAGATTGGATTATAATTTTTTTGGACTGAACATGCACAGAAAAAACATACATAACAATTCACGCGGTAAAGTTCGACACACATCGAGGGACTCACAAATCAATTTTTCTTAAAAGAAGAACCCTGGACAGTTGATTGTGACTTATTTCAGTTGTTTTCTGATTATTTTTAGTTCTACCAGGACGGCATGCCAATTCTGTTCAACAGAAAAATGTAGGCATTTCAATTCTTATTGAGAAAAAATCTACAACTCGGCGGTCTATTATTAGGATACTTTAATTGAATATATCACTACAATTCTATCTATACAAACCAAACTGTCGTTTCGCCGTGCACTTGTTTGAATGATGTTCTTTTGAGAGTCAATTCTTAAAGTGAGATCGGACGTATGAGCAGGTGTATCAATTTACCCCATGTCGTATGGTATTAATTTTTTGTCATGTTATTTTTGCGCCAATATAAAATTATTTAATTATAAAATAACTCATAAAATGTTATATAATAAATTTATTTTTTTTCTTGAAATACTAGTTAATTGTGTTATTCATATCTAACATTGTTTGATCTAATTATTATTTATGCTAATTATTTGTATCATTTTCATGTTTTGTGTCATGGCATGTCGTATTTATGTCAATGCATAAAATTAAACACTTACTTAAGAATTGGCAAAAATAAACACAGATAAACAAATGCTTATAACCCCAGGTATCCTAATGGAAACAGTGATGAGCTATAAATTCAAACGTCTTGAATTCGAAACTTTTCAACTCTTTCGGAGTCAAGTCATGAGAAATTTATTTCTCATGAATTCTCTAGTTTTTGCGTGATAGTCAGCTTTCGTGGCTTCGTGTTTTACTCCGTGAGAAAAATAACATAGTATATTCACTTATTCAAATCGAGTAAGAGGTGAATGAGAACATAAACTTCAAATAACCTTCTTAAAATGTGAAAAATAGAGGTTGGATAATGTGTGATTTGATATCAATCTCACATTGATTGGACAAGGAAAATTAAGTGAGTAAATATATTTCAAGTTTGCTCAATGGATTGATTGAGCCCCAACCTCTATAAGCTTCGGTTCTACCACGTGCACGTCGCCTGTGCCAGGTCGGGTGTTTAGAATATTTTTAAATTTAACTTTACCATATTGTAGAAATCCACACCAAAAACGGTTTTTTTTTTTTTGAAACTTCTAACTTAATTCCAGATGAATTGTAAATAGTCTCAATTAACTTAAATTTCTAGTTGGCAAAACTCTTTAAGTGTCGTTGTCTTACTCTTTTGTTAAGTAATCCAAATCTCGTTTATATGTTCTCAACCTTTGCTACAAGCCATTAGCACATAAGCATCCATGGACAGCTGATCGTGACTTATTTCAGTTGTTTTCTGCTTATTTTTAGTTCCACCAGGAAGGCATGTCAATTATGTTCAATAAAAAAATGTTGGCATTTCAATTCTTGTTGAGATATCATAATTGAATATATCACTACAATTCCGCCTATATAAACCAAACGGCCGTTTCGCCATGCTCTTGTTTAATTGATGTTCTTTTGAGAGTCTATTCTTAAAGGGAGATTGAACTTATGAACAGGGTATCAATTTATCTCATGTCATATCATCTGATTTTTTTGTCATATTTTTTTTGTGTCAAAATAAAATTATTCAATTCTAAAATAATTCATAAATTTTTTTAAAAAAAATTATTTTTTCTTATAATATTTGTTAATCGTATTATTTTTGTCTAACCTTAATTTGATCTATTTATCATTTATACTAATTATTTATTTAATTTTCATGATTCATTTCGTATCGTGTCGTTTCGTGTCTACGTCAATGCATAAAATTAATAGCCTTACTTATGAATTGATAAAATTAGCACATACAAACAAACGCTTATAACCCTAGGGTAGCCTAGTGGAAGCAATGATGAGTTGTAAACTCAAATTTCTTGGGTTTGAAATTTGTCAACTCTATTGGGACTAGGCCATTAGAGATTTATTTTTCACAAATTCTCTACTCCACGCGTGATGATTTGTTTTTGTGGGTCCATGTTCTACTACGTGAGGAGAATAACGTAGTATATTCAGTTGTTCAAATCGAATAAAAGGTGAATATAAAAATAGGCTTTAAAGTGACCCTCTTGAAATATGAAAAATGAAAGTCGGACAATATAGAATTTGACAACAATCTCACATGAATAATGCTACAATGATCAAATTTGAAGCCCAAATGACATGACACTGGGCTCTAATAAAAACTTCAAATAATAAGTTGTCATGTCATTTGGGCTCTAAATTTATTTCTAAAATTTGGTTAATGTAACATTATTGATCTCACATTGACTGGTAAAGGAAAATTGAGTGAGTAGATATACTCGAAGATTGATTTGTGGGTTGGGCCCTAGGAGGCATTGTAGTTCACTGAGTGGAACAAACACTTACATGGACTTCAGTTCAACCACGCGCACATCGCCTGTGCCAACTCAGGTGTGAGTTAGATGCAATTTTATATGTTACTGTATTGCTTTTAACTGCATAAACAGATTTATTTGTTTCTGATGATGCACAAAAATGGTTTTGCACACCACCTGTCAAGTATAGATAATAAATGCAATGAAATCAACGAGAAAATTAAAGAAGACACAATTTATAGTGGTTCGGTCAATTCGACCTACGTCCACTCTTCAATGGCTTCAGTCGCCGGGTATTTTATTGATTCAAAGGTATGGAGAACGGAGATACAAGCTTTGAGAGGGGGAATGGAGAATCAAAGAAAAACAATAATCTCTGGTAGTAGGTTCGTCTTCTGAAAGTCTCTGATGGAGCATGTGTCCTTCCTCTCCCAGATTAGAGTCATTTTATAGTAGATAAGAGATCATTCTTGTGGAGATCATGACATATCCTCAAGGCTTCTTTATCGCAGCTTAGAGATTATCTTCGGTGGAGATCACGACTTATCCTCAACGGAAGGAAGAGTTTGGGGAACTCTTGAAGGAAACGTGGTCAAAGATTGGACCGTTGATAAGCTTCCCGTGCTCTCCTTTTGGTGACGTGCTAAGCAAGAAGTCTAACCGTGCTCTCCTCTTGGTGACGTGCTAAGCAAGAAGTCCAACCGGCCTTGGGCTCTCCTCTTGGTGACGTGCTAAGCAAGAAGTCCAACCGTGCTCTCCTCTTGGTGACGTGCTAAGCAAGAAGTCCAACCGTGCTCTCCTCTTGGTGACGTGCTAAGCAAGAAGTCTAACCGGCTTGGGCTCCTTAAGGCGGTGCAGATAAACTTCCCGTGCTCTCCTGTTGGTGACATGCTAAGCAAGAAGTCTAATCGGCCTTGGGCTCCTTTGGCTTGGTGGATTCACGATGAGGTTGGGCTCCTCAACTGGGGTTGGGCTTTAATACATAAATTGGACTACTTGGGCTTAACCCATCATTTGCCCCCCAATGCCCCATGTCCAAGGAGACTTGGAGAAGGAGGCATTGATTACACATTTTTTTTTATTTATTTTTTTTTTTTTAAAGAAGGCCCATAATATCTTATTTGGCCTTTTTGTTTTGAAAAATGGCTTATAACTTTCTTTTTGGCCACTTTGTTTTGAAGAGGGCCCATAATTTTTTATTTGCCTACTTTATTTTGAAGAGGGCCCATATTAGTCTATTTGGGCTTTTTTCCTCTTTTTGAAGAAACCCTAGACTATAAATATAGTCTTCTTCTTCAAATTACCACTTCACTTATTTTTAAGGTTGAGAACCCACCTCTTGAAAATTTTGAGAACTCAAGTCCTACCCATTTTGTTGAAGCCAAAGTGTGTGTTCTCCTTGAATCCTTTCAAGAGTGTGATTTCTTCCTTGCTAGTTGAGCTTCTCAAGTGAACAATGTCGATTGAAGAGGGATTGGTGGAGGTTGAAGAAAGCTATGGATCTGAAATTGGAAAGCTGGACAGCGAAGGGGAGATGGGCAGCGCGAGGAATGGCTTGGGC